CGCTCCAATTATGGAAAATTTTTGTGTATTGTACCATCTACCAAATTTACATACATAAAAATTTTCAATAATTAGAGCACTATTGCGACAGCATATTCCTGAGACCAAATCAAGTAAAAAAAGTGTCCTGTACTACTTTTCCCTCTGACAAACAGTTATCGAAATATCATAAGCTAAACATTGAATAAGTTATAAATTTTCTCTTGAACATCTCAAAAAGTATTAGGCAAATAAAAAAATGTTTCAGACAAAACTTACGTACTTTTTAACGTGGAATGCGAATCTGTTATAAAAAGTTGGGGTTCCCATTTTAGATTTTAAAGTTGTCCCCCGCCCCACCCACAGGGGTGGGGGTGGGGGGTCAATTTTGGTATCATTCGATGGCTCTTTCAAAAATAGGAAATACGTATTTTTCCGTTTTCCGATCCACCCACAATTTCTCGGGATATTCAACCGTTCCGGGACTTTTAGACCACCCTGTATATATATTTTATTACATTCATACACAAAAATTTTCAATAATTAGAGCACAATTTCGACAAACAGTTATCGAGATATCATAGCTAAATATTGAAAAGTTATCAATTTTCTCTTGAATATCTCAAAAAGTATTAGGCAAATAAAAAATGTTTCAGACAAAAGTTGTTCATATTAACTAGTATTATAAGATAGTGTAATAAACAATAGAGGTTTCCATTTAAGACTTCAAAATTACTCCCCGCCCCACCTCTAGGAAGGGTGGTAGGTGGCTAACTTTTGCGGGATGGAATTGCCCCTTCGAAAATATTGAGGGTTTATTTGTAACATTTTTTCGTACAATGCTTATTTTTTCAGATAATTTACAGTCTCAAGTTATGTAAACCCTGTATATTTATGAAACAAATATTTTGTTATTAGAATTTTATACAATATAATACTTTTAATTTGACCTCTACATTATTTTAATACTTTTAAGTTATATTTCTAATAATAACAATTTATTAATAACTAAATGTACATGAATTATATGTAATATTTAAGTCTTTTTTAGGTGAACGATATTGCTAAAGAAATAAGTGAAGCATCAAAACAGTATTCTGTTGTATTTACATCTGGTGGTGTTGGACCTACTCATGATGATGTAACTTATGAGGCTGTAGCAAAAGCCTTTGAATTAAAACTTGAATTACATCAGGAATTGTTTAATATATACACTCGGTTGATTCCTGATCAGCATGAAATAAAACGTCTTGCTATTGTTCCTAAATCTTGCAAGATTATCAATATTGATTCTGCAGGTATACATGTATATTTTCCTTTATTACCTTATATTTTAATGTTGAACTATTAAAACTTATTTTTGTGCTTCTCATGGATTGGTTACATTCTAGAATATTATATCTGTATTTGCAAAGTAACACTTATATTTTTGTTTTCACAAGGATTATACTCCCAAATGTTTAATAATATCAAATGTATATAAATCTGTTACTTGGGTCACCAAAAAGTACACCATTTATAAATTCTACTTTTGTGATATAAGCACAACCAAATCAGCAATATTAAATATATCGGAATTTTGCGGATTATTGGTAGTGTAGTAATATAACACCTTAAAAAATAAACTTTTTTTAAAAAAAGGTAAAAGAAAGATGCCAAGTATAAGCGCCATCCAATCAAGAATTATGTAATTCTTAATTAGATGGCGCTTATACTTTTTTACGGTTATTTTAGACACCGTATGTAAACCGTACAGTGATTTAATACAGAGTACATACATATTGCGGCTATGAACGGGGAGTCACAGATTATAAAGATACTAGTGTATAACAGAAAGTATAATAGTGCTATGCACCTGCACTATATGGATGCGATTTTGGTTTGGATTGTCATTACACCAATAATAGACGACTTTCCTCTACTTAAAAATGAAAAAATTTATAATACATAATGACAAATTATTTATATCCATGTTTCTTCATCTTGTATATAATATATGATATTAATGTATGATATTGTATTACAATTTCAGAAGCGTTTCCAGTGATAAGTGTAAAAAATATTTATATGTTACCTGGTTCACCAAAGTACTTCAAGCCGGCTGCAAACACAATAATTTCTTGTTTGAAAGGATGCACACCATTGCAGTTTGAATATATAGATATTGAATTGAATGAACTGTTAATAGTAGATACTTTAGATAAACAAGCAAAACGATGGGATGGTAAAGTAAAAATTGGTAGTTATCCTCAATTGGAATTAGAAGTACCTTTTACAAGGATTACTTTGGAAGGATCCAAAGAAACAGTTGCAGAAGCAAAAGAGGAACTTTTGTACTATCTACCAATACAAAAAATTATGAATTTGAAACATAAATTTAGTTGTTTTCAAATGAATGTTGTATTGGAAACTAGCAAAAGTGAAATGCATATTAAATGTGCATTAGACATATTGAATGAATGTTATGAAAGGTACGTACATATGTAACATATTTGAATAAATATATTAGGAGTGTACAACAATTTTAGTTGTTTTTAAATTTTTGTTTATTTATAATACATACAAATAGAGGAGACCGGGGCTATTTGTCTACGATTTACGCTATTTTCAAATTTACTAAAAAATTAATAAAGATATTTTGCTGAAAGTTTTAATGATGTAACTTCTAAACTTCCCATTTAAAAAAAACCTAACTAGAATCGTTAATCTTTTAACAATTTAAAAAGGTGAATTTTGTGAAGTGGGCAAGACGAGTGTGGTCAAATGGCCCCATATACGGGGCTATCTGACCACATAACAAATACTACATTATTTATATTAATTTTAATATTTATTTATAATATTAATTGTTATTAACATATAATACGGAAAAAACTGTCTAACAGTCGGAGTTAGAGCAGTAGGAAGTGTTTTGTGCCGATTTTCTGGCAGGATTCCTGCGTGGTGCCGGATTTTTTTTATTGGTGGCGTTAGACTGTTTTTGAGCCTGTTGCAAAATCAAGTTAATAAGTTTTTGTTCCCTCAATTCTTTAATTCTTTTTTTTGTATTTGAGGCCTTTGCTTTCTCCTCAGCAGCGTTTTTAGAAGGTGAATAAGTTAATACTGCACTCATTACTTTGCGGGATTTTTTAAAAATGATCTTGAGTGGTGGTGCTTTTTGAAGAGGGCGAATTAAGTCAATAGGTAACTCCTTACTAGTGGAGTGTTCTGATACAGCTACTTGCGGTGTTAGTTCGATTTGCTGCTGCTTGTCAGAAATAGGTGCCAATTCGTTAAAGTGATAGAGACATCTACCTCATAATACCTAAGATAGCAGTACTGTGGACACATAGCCCCTGTAGACAGATAGCCCCGGTCTACCTTACTACAAATAAATTTTTGATACATTTTCTCTCATTATTTACAACTCTGTCATCTTTCTGGTAACTTTTGGATTCCATTGTGAAAAAAGACATTGATTTGGAGCTAATGAAATCGACAACCTATTTTTGCACAACTCAAAAGCGTTGTCCGGTTAAAACACGCTGTATCAACTGGAATAAATGATAATCCGAAGGTACCAAGTCAGTGAGTACACTGTATACGGAAGATGGTTTGTTGAATGCAGTAACGAATATAAAGCTTTTCATTGCTGATCGTGTTCCCTATTTTCGTAAGCTTTGTACACTAATAAATTATAAAGTATAGCGTTTCAGATAGTTCGATATCAATCGTACAAATGTACAAAAAGATAGAAAATTATTTCAATTTAAAATCATACCAGAATGCTGAAAAAAGACTGAAACTTTTGCACATTCCTAATACTATATGTATCTTATTTGTAAATTTATACAAATATGTTATATCAATTAATTTATGCTAGCAGGTATGCACATGTTTGTGTATATACATACATATAAGGTTAAGGGGATGCTGGAGTCGTTCTGATTTACCGACATTTTTTATACATATGTATAAGGATATCTTTTAATTGGTTTTACAGAATTGCAAAATCTTGTACACGAAGTGTTATTAAAGTTAGTACAAAAATGAAAGTCAGCCTACTCGACTTTATATCAAAAACGAAAAAAAACCTAAATATTCCATTAATTTTTGGCATGTAGAGCTGTCACATG